TAAAATATCAATTGTATCTAATAAATTATCAAAATTAATATTTTTTAAAATATTATTTATATTTAATTGTTTAATATTTATAAATTCACCTTCAACTCTATTTAAAATAAATAAAATACTAAAATTATTTGAATATATTTGTAATTTACCATAAATTAAATAATCAATTATAGATTGTAATGCATCTAATTCTTCATTATTTAAATTATTTAATAAATATTCATTTTCAATTACATTTTTTAATAAATTTGGTGCCATTTTTACTATAATTGGTTTAAATACAATAATTCCATTTTTAATTTCATCCATTTCAAATTTTTTTAAAATTACTTTTTTATATTTAATTTCTTTTTTTTTAAATGATTTTTTAATTTCAATTAAATTAATTCCATTTCTATTTGCTATATTTAAATCATTATTTTCTATTTTTATATCTGGATGATTTAATAATAATTTAATTATTTCTAAATTTCTTTCTTTACATGATATACGAAGTGGTGACTATATTTGGATATTTATTATATTTAGTAATTAACATGCTTGTACTTACACCCTATTTTAAAATAATTTAAATATTTTATAAAAATTAATTACATACTAAATTTACATTAATATTTGAATTATTTAATAATTGTTTAACAATTAAAATATTTCCTAATTTACATGATTTACATAATGCTGTCTATATTTGTAATTTTAATTGTAAATCATCAACACAATGAAAATATACTTACTAACTATTTAAATATTTAATTATATAAATAAATAAATAAATATTTTAAAAATGTACATACTCCCTATATAATTACAATTAATCTATTATTAATATTTAATTTAAAATAAATAATACATACAGTCTATTTAAACAATTTTACAATAAATTAAATATTAATATTTACATACATATTCTTGATTTACATTTATAGTAGGTATATTTAATAATAATTTTACAATTTCTTCTGATCCTCTTTCACATGCAATATATAAAGGTGGCTACATCATTTTTAATTATTAAATATTAATTAAATATTATTAAATATTACATACTTTCTAAATAATATATTAAATAAATAAATATATTAATAATAATTAATATACGTACATGCTATAATAGGTAATTACATTCCGATACTAATAAATTACATACTCCCTATATACATCATAATTACAAATTTAAAATATAAATATTAAATAATTACATACTAAATTAACATTAATATTTGGAACTGATAATAAAATCTTTATAATTTCTAAATTTGATTTTTCACAAGCAATTGCTAATAAACTTGTTTTACGATCAGTTTGTAAATCATTAATACAATCTTGTAATTGTAATGTTGATAATGTTGCAATATCATTATTAACAATTGCTTGCAGTGGTGAATTTCCCATTTTTTTATAAATTTGATTTGATTGTCATTTGATGTGTTGCTCATTTGAATGTGTGCAATGGTTGACATTAATCATGTTTCAATCCATAATTAAAATTCTATTTTTAAAACCAAATAGAAGCATCATTTCATATTTGGATCAATATTTCAACAACACCTTCTTCTC